TGAAGGGTATTTTTTTTTTTTTTGCAGAAAAGGTTGTTCTGATGAAATAACATTGTGGTTGTGTTAAGTGCTCAGTGTAGATACACTAAACACCTTCTGTTGCTGCATTTATATAAGTCATGTTTTTTTCTACAGTTCGCTGATGGCGTAATTTTGCTGCTGTTAATTGGGCAAGTGGAAGGCTATTTTATACCTCTATCTACATTCTTTCTGTGTCCGGGATCAACAGAAGACAGGGTGAGTTACTGAATTAATATTAACAGTTTTAGCTGTAGACCTATTACAATCTAAAAGGTTATTCTGTATTTGCTAACAGATTGTAAGCTTTGACGAGCAGGGCCCTCCTATAATTGCATTGTAACTGTACTGTCTCCCTCCATTTAGTAAAGCGCTGTACACACTGTTAGCGCTATATAAACCCTGAATAATAATAATAATAATAAAAATAATTTGTGGCGTATCTAGCTGTGATATCTTGTACATATACAGTGTAGTTACAAGATCTCTAGCATTTTCTATAAGTATTATTATTAACTTGAGGATGCTTTCTGACACAGAGAATGGATGCTGGTAAGTTTCTGCATTTCAAGGTGATGCGCTAATGATGGTGTTCCTTGACCAGTATTATTGAAGCCGTGTAAGGGAACTGTTAAATGTGAAACAATGTAAAGCTTTTTTCTGCGGTATTTCATTTTTATCTAACTTAAAGGGAATATACATTTTCAAAAATGTTATTATTTTACTCCTAAACATAATACATAAATAAAGAAAATATATGGAGATACACTGTTCCTCCAAAAGCAGCTCTATATTCATTTGTATATTATTAAATGTATTTTTTAATGCAACTAGTGTAAGTACCTAAAATTTTACTTGATATCAGTTTCATGCAATCCTTGTACAGCAGAGCGTAGACTGAAAGATACTGGGGCAGTACAAGCAAAACAAGGAGCCAGTGAGTAATGTAGAAGTGCTCATGTGTTAGCCATCAGCATGCTGTTAGGAAGAGAGCTTTTTCGGCCGGCGCCCCCCCCTTCACTTTTCGCCCGGGGCCCGCGCCCCTGCTGCACCCCCGGTTGTTACGCCACTGCCCGGATCAAATCAGTTATCCTCATTGCAAAGAGGTCACCCTGACAGCCCTCATCCAACCCCAATTCAGGCTACAAAGTGCAGTTCTTCCTGATTCCATTACATATTGTTGCTCAAGTCTGAAGAAGGGGGTGTCCAATACCCCCATATTGCATTGACTGTATCTGACATTTCCATTAAATTAACCAATCCAAAAAGGCCTTTTAGCGAGATGACCATTTTTTAATAGGCACTCCTAACCACATATCCAGGATTTGATCTTCTGATAAGTAATCCTCTCATTGCGACCATAGAAACAGCAGCTTATGATCTTAACCAGGTGCACACACACACACACACACACACACACACACACATACTGTTATCATACAGAGTATACACCCACACTTTTTTGGATTTACATAAAAACTGATTCCTATTCCTACTGGTCACACATCACTGCATTCCTGTCAGAGAGATAATCAATCAATTGTCAATTTGCAGCTTCTTCTTTCAATGTCTAGTCACAGGAGCCAGACGACCTGTAAATGTCGCTGAACTGCAGCAGAAAAAAAATCAGGTCTCCTTTCCTGACAGACAGGGCTGTGCTGTGTGGCAGAGCTTTGTAAGTCTCAGGGCTGGATGGAAAGAAATGTAAATCCTTTGACAGGTATGACATATATGTTTTTATTCTCTGAATTAAAGTGACACCAGATTAGACTGACACTGTCCTTCCTTCTGGAGGGTGGCTACTTTTGTTCCACATGGTCCCTGTGTGTGTTGTAAAGTAACCACCACTCCAAGATCCCTCCTGTGATGGACTACAATCTCAATACAAAGTAGCCAACTAAATCTGAGATTATAGCCCATCACAGGAGTGATTTTGGAGTGGTGACTACTTTACAACACACACAGGGACCATGGAGAACAAAAGTAGTCACCCTCCAGAAGGAAGGACAGTGTCAGCACCAACTCAGAGATGATTTGAGGATCTACATCCGAGTGATACACAAATAAGATACATTTTTGTTAATAGTTCAGGTATTTGAATGCCATTTTAAGATATAATTCCTGAGTTTAGTGTCACGTTAGGCTGTTTGCCAGTAGTTTAACTTTAAACGGCAATGTTAGCATGTGGCTCAGTGAGATGGGCCAGGTTTCAGCAAAAAAAAGTTAAGTCTGAAGAGTAGAAACCCTCCAAATCCCCCCCCACCCTCCCTTTTTATTTCTGGTTCCTTACTGACTAGTCATCTATTTTCTTTCCTTTTCAAAATTAAGGACAGTCGCATCATCCCACAAACCTCCCTGATCACTGTAATCACTGAGAAACATCATATTGCTCCTTTTCAAAAAAGAACAAGGCCCCCCCCCCAACTTCCAGGCGTGTGCAGGCTCCTTCAGAAACAGCGGGGCGATCGGCCACCCACTTTTAGCCTGATTACACGATTCACAGCCAGGTAATGACAGCCTGACAAATTGATTTGAGGTCTGAATTCCTCTATCAGTGCTGACAGACGGGAGGAAGCACAAGACTATTCAGATCCTGCACAAATGTTTTGATTTGAGTGACAGAATAAATAAAATGTTTGCACAGGAACGCACTCAGTCAGGAGAATCAGAGTCCCGCCAGAGGCTCATGAATCTTTCATCAATCAGGCGGAAATATGTAATTTATGTAAATTTCCCCTAAAGGAGTCATTGGCATTGCAGAGATAGTTTGTCTTCAAGTGAAGTCAGTGACAAGTCATCTGAAGTGTGTTTGTATAGCTTTGCCGAGGCACGTGTTCTGCTGTGAGATACAAGGCATGATGGTCAGGAAGACAGGCAGAGCCGCTAGCCGTCATCTGGAAATTTTGTGTCCCTGGATTTATATCACCTGTCTTTGATTCTGCCAACATTGTAGGACAGACAACCATCCCCTCTGTACATTTTTTTCAGCATCAGCATGTTTTGGGTCCCACATACAGATGCTGATCATTACCATGTCATTCTAAATGTTCTTTCCTAGTTCAGTGAGATATCAAGCCCAACTGAATTATCAGTTTAAAACAGCTTAATACATTCCAGGTGCATCAAAACAAAAGGTGTTCAAAGTCTTAGGGCTTGTTCACACCAAGTGTGTTCCAGGAGCAGATGCAGAGCAGTCACAGACCGGATCAAAACTGCGTCCAATGTATTCCAATGGTATTTTGGGCTCTAGTTCACACCGCAGCGTTCAGTTCCAGAGCATGTAAAAAAACTGCAGCAAGCCCTATTTTACCTGCTCTGGAACGCATGCAAACACATTAAAAACACATGCAAAAGCCCTGGAATGCACTGAAAGCCCATTCTAAACTAAAAAAATGGCCCGGAACACATCAAAAACACGGCAAAAAATGCAGTATAACACACTGCACTGCGTCTGCAGAAACTCATGCAGATCTGGTATGCATTCGGTGTGAACAAGCCCTGACAGTTTGTTTTCTGTAAAAAGTAATCACAGTCTAAGTAGAAAAGCAAATAACATGAGCTTTGCTGATTGCAGAGCTATAGGTCTGACTTGTCAACTTTCTGTAGGAAAATTCCTACTGGCTCCCATTTTGCCTAATTACCTAATTACTGGCAGAGAAGGCCCTTTCTTGGTCACCAAGCAACCTTTCAAGGGGACCCGTCATATCCAGGGCCGGATTTACTATCTCTGCTGCCCCAAGGCCAGGTTCCCCAATGCGCCCCCCTACCCGCCAACCCCCCCATGGAGAATGGCAGACCTGCAGGCTGCATACAAGTGATCTCGGTAACATCGTCAAGATCACTTGTCGAAAACAAGCGGCGGCTTCCCTCCTGTACATTTAGCTCTGCTTGCCCAAAGCAGGGCTAAATGTAGAAATCAACTACACGCCCGGTGTCTGGAACTGCATGTCCTGGGCATCGGGAGATAGGAATTTCTCCACCCCTGCTGTCCCTCTACTTCCTGTTGCCCCGAGGCCGGGCCTTGGTTGGCCTTGTGGGAAATCCGGCCCTGGACATATCTACTATTTGAAATATAAGATGATTGTTTTAACACTTCTCAGTTTTTGCAATGAAGATATTTAAATGGATGTAAACTAATCATAAGTCAGTTAAGTGAGCCAACAAAAAGTTATTGGTCTATTGGTTATTTTGGGTAACTTTTGCATATCATCACTGATATTTGTATTAGACTAATATTAGATGCATTTATGATTCTGTTTTTGGCATTTTGAAAACCATATATATTGTTTTGTCAGCTCCACAATGTTATCCTTGCCCTGGATCTTCTTATGGATGGAGGGATCTTAACAAATCCAGCAGATGCTGCAGGTCAGTGTTGCAAATGCACAATCTATTTTATAATCAACCTATTTTACGTATGCTACAATATTCCTAACATCGAATAGGCATCATTTCACCCAGTTCCTAGGGGTCCAGTGTCAAATACTTTGCTCATTTTCTAAAAGGCCAGATTATACAACTCTATATTCCCTACTAGCCATCTAAAAGTATGCTGACCAGCCTGTGTATACGCCCCCCCCCGCCATCTGGTTGCCACTCACAATTGATGGGGACGGGGGGTTGGCGGCGCGTGGGGGGGGTGTATTGTGGAACCTGGCCTTGGGGCGGCAAGGAGAGTAAATCCGGCCCTGCCCCCAGCTGTGCTTTAACTACAAATCCCTACATGACTGTACCTGTCAGTCTTTCAATGCCTCATGGGAGTTGTAGTTCCACAACACCTAGAGGGCTGGAGTTGCCCACCCCTGGATTAGAGTTAACAGGTCTCAGGTGGCTCAGTGAAAAGAATACTCCCAGTTCCTGGTGGCCCAGTGCCAGATACAATGCAAGTTCCTGGTAGACAGCGTACAGTTCTTTCCTTGGTTGACCGCTATTCTTCTAGTCTATAGTGACCAAGTAGAAAGTATACTGTTCTTAGCTGATCCCTGGTTTGCCGCTCCCTGGTGACCAAGTGGAACGTATACTGTCCTTCATTGAGCATTTTTTTCCCAGTGCCTGGTGAGGGAGTAGAATTAGAAAGTATACTGACCTTCATCAATGACTGTTTTGCTAGTGGAAAGTGTACTTCTCCTTTGTTGACTACAGTGTTGCCAATCTCTGGTGATCAGGTGGAAAATATACTGTCCTTGGCTGACCACTGTTTTGCCAGTCCCTGGGGGCAAAGTGGAAAGTATACTGTCCTTGGTTGACCATTGTCTTTTCCAGTCCCTGGTGACCAAGTTGAAAATATTCTGACCTTCAGTGATGATTGTTTTGCCAGTCTTCATTGACAAAGTGGAAAGTACACTGTCCATGGTTGACCATTGTCTTTTCCAGTCCCTAGTGACGGGGACCAAGTTGAAAGTATTCTGACCTTCAGTGATGATTGTTTTGCCAGTCTTCATGGACAAAGTGGAAAGTATACTGTCCATGGTTGACCGCTGTTTCTCCAGTGCCTGGTGACCAGCAAAGTATACTGTCTTTTGTTGACCACTCTTTTACTAGTCCCAGGTTACCAAGCGAAAAAAGTATGCTGTCCTTTGTTGACCACTGTTTCCTCAGTCCCTGGTGAACAAGTGTAAAGTATACCGTCCTTAGTTGACGAACGTGGACTGGCAAAAAAGTGATTATGTAGAAAGTACATTATATTGCCCTTGGTTGACCACTTTTTTGCCAGTACCTAGTGACTGAATAAGAAGCATACCACCCTTAGTTGACCACAGTTGTGCCAGTCCCTGGTAGTATTCCCTACAAATAGTGCCATTATCCAAAGGCTTAGTGGAACATGTCTTTCTAAGTAGGGCTGAAAAGTATATTGCTCAATTTCTGGTGGCCCAATAGAAAAAAAATCCAGTGCCAAATAAATTAATTGAAAATTAAAATGTAGATCATTGTGGAAAATGAGTTGACAATATCAAGCTAAAAATGTAGTGGGAGTCCCTTGTGGATGCCTCTAAATAATTCCTTTTCACCCACTGTGCAGTTTCATTTCCTCAGCCTTGTCCTGACGGTTGAATTAGATATTTATAAAGGGCCAGTATATAAATATATTACTTTAGGGAGAAATATTTCACTGAAGCTTGAAGCTCTTTAAGTCTACTGTAAAACCCTGAAGTATATTCCAACATCTCATAACAGTCATCGGAATAATAAAAAATGTTCTCAAATACAGTTATCATCAATAGCCCTCGCTAACATTTTACATTCAATTACAAATGTATTTTTTTTTTATCTTGTCTGCTATTTTTTTTCTGTTTGCTCCCATCTCCAGAGATTGTGAACAGAGATTTAAAAACCACCCTGCGAGTTTTGTACAGCCTGTTCCTCAAACACAAAAACATGCTGAAATCTTCATGAAAAAGAGGATTTGGACAAAGCAGAGTCAACTGGAGCCCAGCTGAGCCAAGGATGAAAACACAATTTATTACAAAAAATA